CTGCATTTTTTATTTCAGATTTTGAAAGAACTCGGTCTCCTGAATACAATGATATACATTTTATACACTTTATACTTTTTTTATACCACACTTTATACTTTTTTTTGTTTTTGGTACCTTAACAGCAACAAAACTATTTAATTATTATTTAAAATAATTTCAAGTCCGACTCTAGTTTCTTAAATTATTTAATCTGATTATATTCATGGCAATAATTAGTCGCACGCAAATAGAAGGTTGTCACGGTCCTAGTTTACATTTTTATTAATCGCAAATCGCAACTATAGTAATATTGATTGCCTAAATTGAAACTCGCAAATAGAAGAAATCGCAGTCGCAGTTTCCTATGAGAGTCAATCCCAGGTTGCAATGGCGATTTTAAAATCGCTGCGATTGAATTGCAGTTTGCGATTTGATGCTCATCTCTACTTGTATCCTTCCCAGATATGTGCAGTGATCTGTTATTGTCTATGGCATTTCTTTGAGTGTGGCAGACAACGATTCAGTATTTTCATTCCTTTTTCTTTGTCTGACTCATTATCTTTTCTTATTTTTACTTACACAAGGTTTCGATCAAAATGATCACTGTGTGAATGCGGTGAGTCGTATATTGGAGAGACTAAACGTCCTCGAAATGTACGACTTAGCAAGCACAAAAAACATGTACAAAACGGTGAAACAATGAAGTAAGGTATTGCAGATCATGTTTAGTAAAAACAGCATAATATAAAGTGGTCTGAGGCTCGGGTTGTCCACAGGGAACCTCAATGAAAAAGAGTGAATTTAAGAAGCCGTTTTTATAGCAAACAATAATAACTCCTTTAGCAATAGTTCGGAAATATCGACAATATCCCCAAAAAAACACTAATAAGATGCTTTAAGCTGCTGAGATGCACTACTTTAAGATGCCTGGCTGTAGTATAAAAGCTCAGTAATTTAAGGACTTAGATTAGTTTCTCCCCAATATCAGCCGAAATAATAGCTGACCATACTTCGGCAGCTAGTTCCTCGGAGGTGGACTGTTTTTAGTGGGTAACAATCCAAGTCCCACACTGTCTAGGGGTTATTTCTATGATCGTCTCTCTCGAGATGGTGATGGGAATGATCACTATTCGTTTATAAAAAAAAATTAAACCACCCCCTTACCAAAAAAAATAGATTAGGTTACACTTGATAATGGTCAGTGATCCGTCTGACCGAAATGTTCTTAAGTAAAAATAAATAAAGGCAATGTAAGTCCGATTTTTTTAGTTTCAATGTTTATGGTAAATATTGTTTTTAATTTAAAGCATAATGAACCTAATAAAAGTAAAATAATATTTATTCCATATTATACAGTATAATTTGATTAATATATTAATTTTCTCTCTCTCTCTCTCTCTCTCTCTCTCTCTGCGGTGAATACTACTACTACTACTGCTATTACATTACTCGCAAGTACTCGCTGACGAGTATTTGACACGAATCAAAAGATGGTTACGCAATGCGTTTTCTTTCATGAGCGTTTCTGTGACTGAACTCTGACTGTGACTCTTTCGCACTCCTGACATTCAAAAACCTCATTAATTTGTTGCCTCTTTACTTTTTGGTTATCGTTAACTGATATCGTTTACAGTTCTTCTCCATTGCGTCCTATTGTGCGATCTCCATGCTTATCCTCTTCAAGTTTTCATGGAAAATATCCTTGTAACTTTTGAGTTGTTTCCTCTTACCGCCTACAAGCTCACCGTAAAGAAGAGATTTCGGTAGGTGGTTTTCTGACATTCTGCATACGTGACCAGTCCATCTTAAGCGAGATTTAGTAATCATAACATGTGAATGCGGCGAGTATATTACACCAAACATACAAAAACATACAAACCGTCTTCTAAATGTAAGACGTAACAAGCACTTTTTGTTCCTTTTTTGTCCAGCCAGGAAATCTTTAACTATTTTTAATTAAAAAGAAGATTAATTCCTAGTTTTTATATGTATAATTATTTTATTTTTTAGGTTTTAACAATTGTTTACCAACCTGCAAATATTACTTGTTCACGAAACCATATAACTAAAGTTAATCAGAAAAAAAGGAGACGATATTTGTAAATTTGAATTAAAATTCCAATTCTAACATTTCTAATTCTCTAATGAAATTTATAAAATTAATCAATATCGACCTTTTTCAAAAAGAAATAAATAAGAAATACCGGGAATCTACAGAAAAGACAGAGCAACAAAAAGGTCAGAGGTAAATATATTTAAATGAATAAAACATATCATTGATATACATGAAATAAGGGTTCTAATTTGAAATGTGATATAAATAATCAGTTTTCCATTCTGCTATACCTCCGTCCTTTCATATATTTTTTCAATATACAATAAATTGGACTTACAGGGATTTCCTTTTATTACGGCATACAGGATATAAATTGCGTAGCTGCGTGAATGAAAATGTTTGCTAGAAGGGCTTCGATATTTAAAATTTTAATTTGTTTTGGTATTCAGGGTCCTCTACGCTTTATGTTCGAAGAGGGGCTATTAAGATTAAAGTGTTTTTTTTTTCATGAATTTTTGAAATTTCATGACGGTTTAAGGGTTGTTAGTATATAAGAATCGCTCTAATTTGGATAGTTTTGAATCTTGAGGTTCAAATTTAAACAAAACATTGCATATGAGTAATAATGTGATTGTTTCTTAATGTAGATTTGTGGATATGAGATCTTCCATTTTTTAGTGGCACAAAGTTTTTAAAATTAAAGAGCGTAAAAAACCTACCAAATTTATATTTTTTTTTTCGTTTCACTGTTTATGAGATATAACGTTGCCATTGTCGCGGGCTGCTGCGCGAGCATTCGGGGACGCAGCTGCCGCTCGGCCTATTTTCATAGTATAAGGAAACTGGTAGCTTTACTCCTTGTCAAATCCTTTGTTCTTTTTCTGCCACTTTATATGACCTTGTTCTCGCGTCCCGTGACCACAGACGTAGCTGTATAGTCGTGGTCTATAATTAGGCAAAGTATAGCCGTGGCACTTGCCATACTTTTACAGAGATATATTTAGGAAAATATGAGTTCACAATAAAATAAAAAAAATTGATCATCGAGTAAAAATTTGCTTGAAAACAGAATATTATCACATTTTGTGTAAGTAACAATTCTTCTATATCTGACTCGGTACCTAATAATCTTCTGATGGGAAGAAATGCGGAAAATATATAATGACATATTTTTATATTATTATCTATTTCAAAGATTTTTTACAACATCTTTTTAATTTAAAACAAGTTTAATTTTAACATTAATGTGTTTGTTTTGTAGTAAGATATTGGTTTCATTGGATAACTAATACATTGAACAACACATTCTACTAAATAATAAAATAACATATTTAAACTTCAATAATTGCTAATAAACATTACAGAAATTTCAAAAGAGAAAAGAATCAATAACAATGAGAAATAGCATTACTACTTATCACGTAATAAAAGAATATTTTTTTAGTTATTGCTACCGAGTCCCGAAGGTGTCGAAAGAACCGGGAATTAATAATTTTCCGAGTCCCGGTTTTTTGATATCTCAAAAGAACTGGGAATTTACGGTTTTGAACCCTAGTTACCATATTATCAAGAAATTATGTTTTTTAGCTAAAAACTAAAAAAAAATCCAGATCTAAAAAAAATTGCGTAGAAAATCTTCATATTTCTAAGGCCAAAATGTACTACCCCTAAAAACATTTGCACTCATTTAAGACTCACCCTTTATAGGGCGATTCACGGTTTTGGTACGTTATACCGTTTCCGAAACCTGAGCTGTTTTTCGAAACCGGTATTTTCGGGACCATGCCTCTAAGGAATCGGGATTTCCAGTTTTTTTTTCAGTACTAGCAAATTTTTGTTCATTGATGGTGCTTCGTTAAACAGCAAACAAGGGAGGGTTGTCAAAAGTAAAATCGACAAAAAATTTAGGTTTAAATGAAAATAATATCAAATTATTAAGTAATAATCAGTCATGAGAAAATTAACCTGAACACAAACATGATCACAAATGACTCTCAAAAAAAACTCAAAGCACAATTTTTTGAATTATTAATACAACCAATAGCAGCACACAGTAAGGCACTCATTTTTTGTCAATCCGTCTCTGCGCTGCGCTGGGACGCAACGCTCGTACCTCGCAGGTCGACGGACGGAACTCAACTGAAACGCTCTGCAATCTGCCGATATTCCACAGATTGTAAAAACTGGCAGAAAATATTTGGGAAAGTGCAACTACTCTTTTCCTTCTACTATGCTATTATCGTGTCCCTCCCTCTGGTCCGCATTCCAGCACTAACTAGTCGATCAGCTGACATTTTTCGGCAACGTAAATGCGTTTGCGAGTTTTGACGTAGTAAGCAATTTTTTAGTGTTTAGAGTAAAAACTTTGTCCCTGTAGATTTTACAGCTTTGCTACTGCAAAATGAAATTGTAGAGAATTGAATTCTCTTCATTTTTTGTTCTATAAAATTTTCTGTTTAGCCAGAAAATAGAATCCATAATTTTTTTAGGTACGCTGAAGGTAACGTACCTAAAAAAAATCTCAAAACGATCAGAGAATGTTACAACGATCCTCAGTTCGAGTGAACATCGTAATGCGCGAAGGTAACTCTGGTTCGTTCCAACCGGACCGGGAACCGATCCTGAGACCATCCGTGTCTGAGAAACTTTTTTTCATACGCGTATTTTTTTTTTACGTGCCTATAGTAAATCTGTTACTTGTTGAAGACTTCGAAGTTTGCGCGGCCGAATTCAAGCACGGTCTGATTTAGCAGAGGCCAGGTCAACGGTCTGTACAGTCTGCCTGAACTACCCGATACGTACCGATATTACCCCACAAACCAGGTTTGCACAGGCAGCCTAGGCGATAAAATTGAGCGTCTGTGGGGTTCTTTAGTGTGAATTGACTAACCGGCGAGTCCCGTTTGAAAAATAAAAACCATCGTTTCACCCAAACGATTTTAGCCGAAGAAGCATACGACTGTGGCCGTGGCAAGCCAACGGCGAACCAGCGGCAGAACGACTGCGGTCATTGTCGTGCAAGCATAAGTCTAGCTAAAAACGCGTTTATAACTAACGACGCAGTAATTGAGATTTACTATAGAATATGAAAATAGAAATAAACACCGAGCTTCTCATCGGCCTGGTTGAAAAACGACCAGTATTGTGGGACAAGTCAGACGAAGACTATAATAATAAACTGAAAACAAAAGAATGTTGGACAGATATATGCAGACTTTTGGTAGATGGATATGATGAGTTGTCAAAGAAAGAACAAAAAGACCTAGGTAAGGTATAATTAGTTTAATATTTATTTATTCAAATATTTTTCAATAACGACAATATTATATCCGTCATGCAAATTAAATATTGTTAAGTTTACTAGATAATTGCCACAAATGAAACAGTTATTTAACACTAATTCTAACTCTGATGGTTGTACAGGGTGTCCCATTTTAGTTGAAATCATATATTATCTCCTTTATTACTGAAAATAGAAGGATGTGGTTTGCACAAACCTGTCCTACTTTTTTGTCAAAACAGGGTCTTTTTGAAAATTTTGCAATTTGAGACAATGTATTTCTGTTATTGTGAAAGCTATCGAGAAGGTGAAAATTGTTTATTGTAGAACTCTAATTTAATAAAAATAGTTTCAAGATAACTATCTGTTGTCTAGTAGAGGTGGGCAAAGATTGAACGAGTTCATGTGAACTAGTATTAAAAATAAATCGTAAGATTCGATTCACTGCTTACAATACGGTTTGTTCAATTGAATCGTGGCCAGCAGAGATCCATAAAATTTGAACGATGAGCCGTAAAAAAGAGTCGTAAGAATTGAATCGAATCACAATGCGATCGTTGATTGCGCAGCGGTGATATAGGCATAGAGAGAGTCGGGCACCAATATTTAGACTTGAACAAAAGCCCTAAATAAACATCATGGGCACAAAATGCAAACTATAAAAAAGTTATTTACAAGAAAAAAACTTATTTTTACTGTGCTTAGTACGGGAATATCTGTAATTCATTTAATTTTCACGTTAATATTTTTTTATTAAAATAATATTTACCGACTAAAAGACGGAATCGTGTTTTTATGCAACTCCAAATAAATATTGGTGGCCTCTGCTCAATATGATAAAAAACGTCGTCAGCGATGGTTATGAAATGAAGATTGTTGTCATTTTAAAATTATATATTGGGGAATGTCAATCGACGCCATTTTTTTCGATCATACGGTATTATAATCTATTTATTATATGATTATTCAGTTGTAATTAAAATATACTAAAAATATTAAATTTGTATTAAGAAGTCTTTAATAAATAGTATGTATGAATTGGATTGATAATTTAATATTATTGGTAAAATAATCAATCCAATTACGCCAGTGCTATAAAATGTTGAAAAACAAATTAAAGAACTGTATATTTCTTTTGCTGCCTCCTTACGTAATTGTCCGACGAAATTATCGCCGGTAGTGCCACTTACGATTCTTGTATTTATGAAAGGTAAATTGTGCATGTGGCTCGTTCAAATGAACGAATCGTTGGAGTCGATTCAATATCAGAAATTGAATCGTATGATTCGATTCACTAAGAAGAATCGTAATGCCCATCCACTATTGTCTAGTAAGTAGGTATGGGGGCACTAGAGCCAGACAGCAGACTTTTACTGATTTTGCTGTCTGCATTACTGTTTTTGTTGTCTGCAGACATCAAAGCGGACAGCAAAATCAGTAAATATCTCTTGTCTGGCTCAAGTGTTTCGTACTTCCTCAAGTTCAATATTAACTACCCTAATAACCTGTCAATAGATACACTGAGATCGCAAAGTTCAAACCAAAAACAAAAGTATATATTTATCATTAATAAATCAATATTCCAAACTATTCTGTTAAAAAAAATTAAATGAGTAACTATTACAAATAAGTCTCATTTCCAGGTACAGAAGCTCTTAAGAAATGGACAAATATAAAGGACAGTTTCATGAGATGGCATAGAAAATATAATGACCTAATTCGTAGGGGTTCAAAGAAACGCATGAAAAAGTATTTGTATAACGATCTCTTGTTATTTTTAAAGAAAAATATGGTTCAAAATAATGACGACAATAATTGCGATGACAGTGATCCTCTGAATGTGGAAGAGGATTCCCATATTGACGAAACAACGAACATGATGGAGCTTGAAACTAAAGCATTGGAAATAAATCCAAAACCAACATTAATGGAGATTGAGATAAATAAGACATCCGAAGCATGCCCAGCAGCATCTCATCAATGTTGTACTAATCGTCACTTGGCATTTTTTACTAGCATACTACCTTCTGTAGAAAATTTCGATGATGATCAAATTTGTGATTTCCATATTGGAGTTCTACAACTCATACAATCTATAAAACGAAGAACAAATTGCGGTCCTTGTAACTAGTGTCATGTCTAATTATTTTCCTTGCTTTTTGGTACTTTTTGGTATAAGTGTAATGAAACAATAAAAATTATCAACTATACAAAAGGATATTTCATTATATTACATAATCTTGAAAGTATATAGGTATATCCGACATTCGTTGGCTTTCAGTTGTTGCCTTGTTGTAATAATGCAAAATATATAATGAAAATGTGGACTTAAGAACTAACTAGTCTTCTTCGATCTATCGTTGAACATAGGCCTCCCCCAATCTCTTCCACTCTTCTCTGTCTATCCACATGTCCATCCATTTAGTTCCTGCATGTTTCTTCAGATCCTTCACCGATCTCATTTGAGGTTTTTCTCTACTTCATTTATTTTCCCATGGTCTCCAGTTTATAGTCCTTTTGTCTAATATTCTTAACCAAGGAGCCTTGGTAAAATATATTTGATCATCTAATGTTTTTAGTGTCTTGTCCTGGTCGGTTAAAAGATTCCAAAATCGTATTTTTAATCATATCTCAATTTTTTCAAATCGAATGAGGGTGGCTCGTTAGCATATTTGGAAAAGCATTTTTTTACGAATAAGTTGATACCACTATTATACCACACTTGGTATTTCCAGTCAAATTTTCGTTATGAACCGCAAGTTATAATTTGAAATAAACCATATGCGAAAATGTCAAAAGTTGACATAATATGATATGTCATTATATTCAGAGTGTTATTTTCTATCGAATGAAGTAAAAAAATACCGAGGGTGCCATTAAAAAATCAAAAGTTGTAGTCATTTCCGGTGAAACAGGAAGTGACCGAAAACAAATGAATACGTGATTCAATTCTAATTTATGTCATATACATACCAGATCTCGTTTTTTTTAACTGAAAAAATAAAAAAGTTATAGGGACGAGCCAATTTTGAGAGGCACCCAGTATAGTTAAACTGAATAGGTTTAAACATTTTATTTTTATAAATTTCACTAGCTTCAATATCCTTAAATCTCTTAAATGACCTAAAAACTATACAATCCAATATTCATTCAGCGAATGTGCGTGCTAGAGGAAAGCTGTTATTAAACTCATATGCTATTGTTAAAGCTGTTTTGCATATCGTCGCTATTATTTGTAATGAATAATTAAATAGAGTTTTATAGAAGGAAAAAACTTATGTGATTTAACAACGGCAATTTAACTATTAATCTAACGTTGATATCTCAATAAAAGGAGCATTTTGACGTTTCGAATTTATAGTATATTATAGTCACACGAAAGGCGCTGTACAAAATTACACTTTCCGCAAAATAATAGAACAGTCGTCCATTTGAAAATTGAAAATTTTACTTCTGATATATTACAACTTTTCTCTTTTGATCTTCCACATTTATTTTCAGTTTATTTTCAACTTCAGTAAAAAACAATTTCGCCGCCTCTATACATGGACATCGACATCTCCAAATGGTATACACAGAAATCAAATTGACTACATTCTTATTAAAAACCGTTGGAAGAGTTCATTTCTATCAACAAAAACACTACTCGGAGCTGATTGTGGATCCGATCACCAACTTCTACAATCAACATTTCGACTTAAACCTGAAAGCACCCAATAGAAAATTATCCCGTCTCGCGCCACTACTCATAAACACCGAGGTTTTTGAAAAAAAAATTGTGGTCTACTGATAAACACCGACGCTAGAAGATGAACTAAATAATCAACTATCTAGGCCTCCCTAAATCAGTTACTAGCAACATATAAACCTCTACAGAAATGCGGGACAATTTTAAAAACATAACGCTAAATATCATAAACGAAACTCAACCAAGAACAAGACGCAACAAACAACATTGGATCTCAGAAGAGACCTTACTACTTATCGAAGAAAGACGACGCAAACTGAAATAAAAAAGATCTAAAGAATTATGAAGACTCCGAATCCGTTAACCCCCTTTCTAGAGCTATTCAAAGAGAATATCGCAGAGTTCCGAAATACAAACACATGCAAACACCTTAGAGACAAGAGATTTGTTCTCAAAAATAAAGCAAATTATGCTGACACCCAGTTTTTGACAGAAATTGAGGAAGTAATCGAGAGATGGTGGAAATACTGCGAAGAGTAGTATACCGACGCGACCTATACACCAGTCGTCCAAAACACGATTACAGAAGAACCAGAACCAGACATCCTATTTTCTGAAGTAGAAGCAACTATTCGAAGTCTCGGCCTACAAAAATCTCCAGGTATCGACAAAATAACAGCAGAATATTGTCATAAGAAAAAAAAATAATAAAAAAAAGAAAAGAAAATAAGATAATAAGAATAGAAAGAAAGAGGCAACTTAAAAATCTATAAAATTATGTTTACTGATAAAAAAAAGCTATAAAAGAATATTTACTGTTACAAAAGAGCTATAAAAGGGTGTCAAAATATCTAAAATCTTTTTTTCTCATATGACAACAGAAAAACTATAATTTATATTATAGCTGTGTTAAATTAAATAAAACTATGTTACGGTGAGATAAATCAAAAGATAAAGAAAAGAGACAGCGACAAACTAATAGTTATTATTTAATTATTTAACTTTTACTCCTCAAACAGGTTAATGCCCAAATCGGTAGCTTCTACGGAGAGTAGGGGGGGTTATAACTAAATATGTCTAAATTAAACATAAATAAGCGCCACCCACTTTCTGGACCCTAAGAGTAAAAGTGATGTTTCTGAAAGAAAGTGGGAAACAAAATACTAAATAAAATAAAACAATAGGAAAATCACTTAACTTATTTAATGAAGGTTCATCAGCAATAACGATAAAATGTAAAACTCTAAATATTGTATGTATGGCTTAAGATGGGAAAATCAATTGTCAATATATCAAATTAAATTATAGAAATACTTATACCAATATATCAGATAAAACTATTTAAATCGTTTACTGAAAGTAATTAACTACAAAACAGTACAGCTCAAAAAGTATCAGCAGTACATAAGTGGTAACTTGAACGAGAGTGTCTAAACTTAATACGGTTATATCGATATCCTAAATCTCAAAATAGTTATATAACAAACGCTATAAATTACTAAAACGGAAATATGTACTCGCGATACTTACTAGTAAGTTCACAGATCGAGCCGCAAGTAAAAAATCTAAAGAAGTTAAACTACAACTATCTTAAATACGCAAAAATAATTAAACTCAATAAACGATTAATACACCCGTTCGACTGTAGTAATCAAAACAGTAAAATTAAATGAAATGGGTACTTATCAGGACATTCCAGAAACTCGGTGGTCGGTGACTCAGATGGTTGCTTTTTGACTGATTTTGGAGAAAGGCGGACGGTGAGCTGGCTTCAATATCCCATAGTGGTCGGTCTGGTCGGTCTCAGAAAGTCTTCTGGATCAAATGAGCTAGGTGATGAGGTGATAGTTAGCTCAGAACCACATGGTGAAGAAACTGGATATTGGTTGGCAAGAAAACGGCAGCATACCAAATAAAACGTAACCAGATGTTACAAAATGGTCAAAACCAAAATCCAAAATGAATATAGGAATAGGAATTAAATTAAATTTAAATCCAATTAAATTAAATCCAAATTAAATTAAATGTAAATCCAAATTAAATTAAATGGAGATAAAAACGAAGTTAAACTAAATTAAATGGCCTGACAAAGAAGTTCAAAATTACCTTCAAGAAAAACCACAAAATGGCGTAAAACATACCTGAGATGTCATGTGGCCATTCATTAACTCTTTTCTTCAAATTCATACGGTTCAAATAATTGGATAAATCGGAAAACTTCCACTTGAATAGTGCAAACGGCAAACTATTCACTAAATAATTATTTACCAGAATTTGCTATAGAACATATATCAGCACAAGGCTTGATCCCAAAACGTGTCTGCACACAAAGACGGATCGTTCTAGAAGAAAGAATCATGGATGAACACCAGACAAAAAGGGCAGTAAAAAAACACAGCAAATCAATGTTGCCAATAAACCAAATAACATACTCCCTAAGAGCAAAACATGAAATACGTAAAATATAAAAAAAAAACAATAAATCGAAAGTATTGAGAGTAAAGGAAAATCGAAGAAGAAATCGAAAGTACTACAGAAAATAATATTACGCAACCAATATACAATGTAAACAATCAAAAAGTCACCATCATATATAAATGTCATATATAACTGTCAATCAAACCCTAATTCGGTAACTAATGCTAATATGCTCGATATTTACGTTGCCGCAGAATAAGAAATTACAAAATAACCTCAAATATTATTCCGCTGTAAACACATCGCTGTCAAAACATTACTCAAGCTAATTTTAATAAAATTACGATTTTGCAAGCCTTTAAGAGACTAAATATCAGCCACACATCGTAAGTAATATATTTAAAAGTACCTATTAATAATTACTAAACGTTTTATTTACTTTTAGTTTATGATGTTCAACAATTGAATGTGCTACACTGATATCAACACTTGTTCGATTAAAAATAAAGTTAAATCAGTAGGGGTTCAAAGAAACGCATGAAAAAGTATTTGTATAACGATCTCTTGTTATTCTTAAAGAAAAATATGGTTCAAAATAATGACGACAATAATTGCGATGACAGTGATCCTCTGAATGTGGAAGAGGATTCCCATATTGACGAAACAACGAACATGATGGAGCTTCAAACTAAAGCATTGGAAATAAATCCAAAACCAACATTAATGGAGATTGAGATAAATAAGACATCCGAAGCATGCCCAGCAGCATCCCATCAATGTTGTACTAATCGTCACTTGGCATTTTTTACTAGCATACTACCTTCTGTAGAAAATTTCGATGATGATCAAATTTGTGATTTCCAAATTGGAGTTCTACAACTCATACAATCTATAAAACGAAGAACAAATTGCGGTCCTTGTAACTAGTCATGTCTAATTATTTTCCTTGCTTTTTGGTACTATGATAAGTGTAATGAAACAATAAAAATTATCAACTATACAAAAGGATATTTCATTATATTACATAATCTTGAAAGTATATAGGTATATTCGAC